GCGCTCGTACAGCTGAGCCTGCCTCATCATGACCTCGACGCCTACAACGTTGGGCAGGTCCAGAAGGTCCTAGGTCATCAGGTAATTCACCATCCACACGATCGACACATAATGCGTGACTCCGAAATCGTCACGAGACAGCCGGCAATACAAGACGAACAAATGAAAATGCTCGATGGTGCCTCCACGATTGCGGTCCAGGAAAAGAAAACACCGCAACGTTGTGCGAGGGCCGCCCAACGGCCCGTCGGGGAAGGGCCCCTCCCTCAACCGATCGACACTCTCGTGGAACAGCACCCGCTGGCGTGAGCCGTCGGCAACTAGCAGCACTGGCTGGAGGCAAACGCCTGAGGCAGCTTCGGTTCCGCGGTACGCAGCCTGAGACGTTGCAATATTGCGGATCGCAATCCAGCTCCCGTCGGTCGCCAGCTTCGGCCCGATGTCGCCACGCATGAGCCCAGATCCGTTAAGGGTGACAGGCTCACCTCGCTTTGCCACAGTCGTCGACTCGACGTGCACCCACTGTCCAGCGGGCCCCGGCACGGCCCCCGCGGCTAGCGGCGCCACCGCGCCTGGGGCGCCCGCGAGCGGCGCTGCCACCAGCGCAGCGGCTGCCGCAGGGGAGGCGGGCGTGGGCGCCGCAGGCCCAGGCGGCCCTGGAGCCGCAGCTGGCACCAGCGCCACAGCCACGGCAGCTCCAGCGGCGGGGGCTGGCGCGGCGCCTCCTCCAGGTGCAGGAACGGCTGTCGGCGGCTGCGGGGCCCCCGAACGTGAAGCACACCACCACCCCAGCGGGCGGCACCACGGGAGGACGCCCAGCAGCACGTTCAGAGGCCAGGTAGACGTCCCTCGCGTAGCCTTCCAGCTCGATCTGGATGGTCGCCTCCTCGGCCGCGACAGGGCTCGACGGAAGCGGTACAAGTTGCCAGCATCCAGTCCAGGGGTCGCGTGCGACGGTCGTCCTCGAAGCGGACCGCTGCCAGACTCCCATCCGACAAATCGTATATCTCTTTGTGCACGTCGCAGTCCGGCGAGGAGATCAGAACACGATGCGAGGACCATCTCGCATCAGTCGGATTCTGACGCACTCGGCCCCACACGCGCCGCTGATGCCACAGCGGCGCGCCTGCGTACAGTAGCCAGGCCCACTGTCAAAGCCCCGCTGGCAGGCTGGCGCTGGTTCCTGAGCCATCCTTCAAGGCTGCGGGAGCGAGGACAGGCAAGACCCGCGAGATGACGGCCACGGCAATCCGCACCAGGCTACCTGCGAAGGTCAGCAGCACGTTCACGACCAAGAGCAGGCCCCAGGGCTGGCCGGGACGGGCGCCGGCTCCGGCTCCACGCCGGCAAGTCCCGGCGGGCAAGTCGCAGGCGGGTACACGTAGACAGGGGCAGCATTAGGGCAGGCCGGGCACTGCGGACAGGCAGGGCACGCAGGACACTGAGTAGACCAGCCCGCGATGGTCTGAGAGACGGTCCCGACGATCTAATCGGAGTACCGTCCACCAAGCGGCCAGGCCATGTAGGAGGGGGGATGCTGTCGCCCGGCGCTCGCGCTGGTAACACCTTGAGCACAATCGGTTGCGGGCGTCATGACACGCGCGGCCGCCTCTCCCAAGACACCCTCAGAAAAGATTCACACGCACGCATTGCCATGAAGATAAGCGGGGGAGATCTGGGGAATGTGCAGAAGAAGATTTGGGAGGATGATATGGCAACAGATCTGGAGACGGATCTGGAGAAACATCAGGGGAAGATCTGGAGGAGAAAATGGAGTTAGATATGGTGGGAGGTCTGGTGGAAAATCTGGAGGAAGATCGGGGGGAAGATTTGGTGGAAGATCTGGGAGGAGGACCTAGGGGCAGATCTGGGGAATGCCAAGAGAACATTTGGCCGAGTGATCTGGAGGAGTATCTGGCGGATCATCTGGGAAATCTCAAAAGAAACATCTGGAAGAATTTATGGTGGAAGTCTGCGGTAAGATCTGGAAGAACATATGGCGGAAGATCTCTTGGAAGATCTGGGGAATGTCCAGAGGGAAATGTGGCCAGAAAATCTGGTAATAGATAAGGAGGAAGATACGGAATAAGATCTGGGGAATATATGGAGGAACATCTGGAGGGGGTTCCGGTGGGAGGTCTGGAGAAATGTCTGGAGGAAAATCTGGGGGAAGACCTGGCCCAAGATCTGGGGGAATATCTAAATGAAGATCTGGGGAATGTCCCGAGGAACATTTGGCGGGGTCATATGGCGATAGATACGGAGGAAGATCTGGCGGAAGATCCGGGGAATATCTGGAGGGAAATCTGGAGGGGGACATGCAGTGAAGATCTGTAAGAAGATCCGAGGGGCGATCTGGGGAAAGATGCAGGAAAGACTTGGGGGAATATCTGAGGGGTGAGCTGACGGACAATCCGGAGGAATGTCATAGGTGCAAATATGGGGGAAGATCTGGGGAAACATCGGGGGGAAGATCTGGGGGAGAAAACTGGGGGAAGATCTGGAGGAAGATCTGGAGTAAGATCTGGAGTAAGATCTGGGGCAAAATCTGGGGAAAGACCTGGGGAAAGATCTCCCGGAAGATCTGGATGAAGATCTTGGGGAAGATCTGGGGAAGTGTTGGGTGAAGATCTGGAGCAAGATCTGGGGGAAGATATGGAGCAAGATCTGGGTGTAGATCTGGGGGAAGATTTGGGAGAACATCTGGGAGAAGATATGATGGAATATCCTGGGGACGATCCGGGAGACGATCTGGAGGAAGATCTGGGGGAAGATCTCGGGGAAGATCTGGGTAAAGACGTGGGGGAAGATCTGGAGGAAAAACTCGGGACAGATCTGGAGGAAGACCTGGAGGGAGATCTGGGTGAAGATCTGGAGGAAGATCTGGGGGAATGTATAAAGGAAAATCTGGGTGCCACGACGGACCAACAGGCCTCCAGGAGGGCCCTGAGAGAGCGGACTTCTCCCCCACACATCTCAGGAGATTAAAGCGGCACGGGAAAGACAAAGAGGCCCCAAAGACAGCCCAATACGCACCAAGATCCGCAAAAAGAGGCCCCCTAACAATGAATGAACACGGCGCGGCCCTAACCAGGGGTCTTCTTCCCTCTGATATAACCAGTGCAAGGCAAACAACACACGGCAAATTAAAGCAATGCAAACCACTGTAAAGCAATTCGACACGACGCAAGGTCCGCCAATCAGAGGCTCTGAGTGGAGGCTCCTCAGTTCTCAAGGAAAAATACTCTTCCAATAGCTCAGAGGCCCTTAGCTTGTCGCATGCTCCCACGCGCCTGAGAGCGTGAAGACGGGCAATAGGTCGGAGGGTTCCAAGACGGCCCAAGAGGGCCCGGAGACGGCCCGAGACCGTTCCAGGAAGGCCCGAGAGGCTCACGAGACGCCTCAAGAGGGCTCCAAAAGAGCACCCGAGAGGGCTGTGAGGATATTCCGGGATGACATTCCAGGGCTGTCGCATGATTGCTCTCCCGCAGATCGTGACGGCATCCATAAATGCACAAATGATTGATCACCCCAGGATGTTTGACAGATGTCAGCATACTTGTCTGTTCGGGTATGCAGCGCTGCATGACGGCCCACGGCATACGTACACTCGGCCTTACGGACATAATTCCCCAACCTTCTTCCTCTTGCCCGATTTGTCCTGACCTTCGTGATAGGCGTACTAACCTTGCTGCAAGAAGAAGGCAACATGCATGAAAGAAAAGAGCCATGGAGGAAGAAACGAGAAGGAGAGGAAAGGACAGCCAAGGAAAGGAAATTATGGGATAGGTAAGAAAAGGCAGAGAAGGGGATGGGGAAAAATGATGGGGAGGCGGGACGGGTACAAGGGAGGTGGAATGGGGAATGGGAAAGGAAAAGCGATGGGAAGGAAGCGAACAAGGAAGCGATGGGTGGAGGGGACGGGAGGAGAAGTCCTCAAAGAGACGGAAAGAAGAAGAGGGGCGATGGAGGGGTGAAGGTGGAACTTATGGCTGTGATGCCTGCGGGGAAGGCTGTGAGACAGATCAGGGGGGACAGAGGGACAATTGCCGATGAACGGGGATGGACAAACCTCCTTTTAGTAAACCTCCATTTAGTGAAAACGGCCTAAGACCGAAACCGACAGACCTGGACCCGCAAAAAATGACGCCGCGACGCCCTCTCGCGAACCGGAAACGGCCAATTCACGAATCGACGTGTCAGGGCAGGAGTTCTAGCAAGCTACCAGATGAGACAGAACGCAAAACTAGGGGAACGAGAGGTTGAGATGCCATACCGACCAGCCATAACTGGGGGAGCTGTGGTCCTTACCCCCCTGGGGGAACCCATCGCATCGACGATCTCTCGAGATGGGTGTCGAAATCGATGGGTCCCCAGGGTGGTAAGGACCACAGCTCCCCCAGTTGTGGCTGGCCTGCCATATTCATGGAGGGACGGCTGGAGCCGGCGAGATCCAAAACGTGGAAGAACTGGGCAGGGCGGAAGTTGGCGGGTAGAGCAAACGAGGGGGCAGGAAGCCACTAGGCAGAGGCAAGGACAGACGGTGATAGAAAACGGAGCTCGAAGAAGGGGTAGAAGGACGCCAATGCGATACGCTCACCGATCCTGGGCCTGCCGAGTGGGAAAGGGGAATCGCAGGGAGGTGCGCGAACGAACCGGCACATGATCACATAGCCATGCCACTCGCCCTCCTCCTCTTCCTGTTCCTCCAGCACCCCCCTCCACGGGGTATGTGCATACAGAAAGAAAAAAGGGCGTATATGTGTGTATGCATGTGTCCACATATACTGAGAGAGAAGCGAAACAAATACGAACACTGCTGGAAATGTGCGCACATGCGTCTAATGCAAATGTAAGCTTATAGATATACGCATGCAAATATACGTGTGTATATGCACAAAGACATACAGAAAGAGAGAGAGAGAGAGAGAGAGAAAAAAAAAAGAGAGAGAGAGAGAGAGAGAGAACAAAAAAAGAGCCGAGAAAATGGAGGGGACATC